TCCAAAATCCTGTGAAACGGTCTAGTTCCTTAACATTTGTTTTATTATTTGAAAAGACAGAAGCAATTTGCATAGCTGGCATGTTAGTTCACCTCTGTTTGCTCAAAACAGCTCATAAAAGCATACTTTTTCTACCATTTCTGATTTGATCAAAAGTGGAAATGCGTATGATGATCCTAAACTAGATCAAAGTGGGTATCTGACTACGTCTCAAGGCAGCGAAGAATTTTAGTTCAAATCACTTAAGGCCCGATATGGAGAAAGAAGAGATGCAGTAGCCAGTAGGACAGCTAATGTATGGTCCATTACACCTGCTTATACAATTCTTCCTTTGAGCCAGCATTTTTTGTATTTTCTTCCTCATATTAGTATCCCACCCAACCTAACAATACTAAAAACCACAACAAAAAAATCAATTCATAATATAACATCGTAAGATCTGGGCAAGGCTGATGAAGGTTTTGGGTAACCACTAAGAAATGCAGAAATAAAATGTATGACTTGAAATTAAAGAGAAATCTTAACATTGGAGTTCTGGTGACTCAACTGTAGCACATAAGCAATTAATGCTCATACACATCTGAAAATAATGAGCAATCCATTAGGAAAAATAATCACTGGATTGATCTAATACAGCACACTGTCAGACTTTCTTGCATAGAATAGCATTAGTGCAATGATATTTCCAAGTGGCACACAAAAATATAATAAACTGAGTAAGAAGCAACATTGAAGTCAAATATTTTGACATGGGGAAAAGGAGAATCTAGTAACAACTCAAAAGACCTGATCACATAACTGCTGTTGTATTTTATGGATAAATTACTAGTGAGAACATCTAATTTCAAAATCTTCTATGTATTTAGAGGACTAAACACATAAAGATGGTTCACTACATAAAGATTTATGGTAGAAGAAAGGCTATAACAGAATTATTATTGGCCATTAGAATTAAAGTTGAATACTCTTTCTTAGTGTTTGAGATGATAGAAAAATCATGCCATTAGGCACCAGTTGCTTTAAATATAATCTTTCCTAAAAACCTAACTGTATGTTTTGAAAAACAGAACATCACACAATGTTGTTGGTTTGGGCACTTTGTGAAGATCTTTTATGTTTTTAATTGCACATACATTGCACACTGTAGTACACTGGAGCCTATGTAATGGCTATTAAACCAAGTATTGTCAATATTCATACCAACTTGAACAACACATTTGGAGAAATATTGCTAGGATAATATTTTGAAAACTGATTCAAAACAATTTTTGAATCTTAGGTTTGATTTTCAACAGTGACTTTCAAGGCAAAAGAGAGGCACTTAACGTTGGACCTTGGCTCTTCTGTTTCTCCTGCACCAGTTTGGCCACTTCCCCTTTATCACGTGCCATTGATGTGCACAAGCCACAAGCTCCTACTTGTGAAGTAAATGGGAACATGGCAGTGCCACGCTGGGAACCAAACCAGCCATCAAGCTGGCCCAGCATGCAGACTCCGAGGTGCTGTAAACCCATTAGGCAACATTCGTTCCCTGTTGTGTACAACAGTGTTTGGTATAGAAGGTTTCTAGATGACACACACAGAGAAACCCGTAGAGAAAACCTCGGCTAAGACCATGGATGACAGTGAAGGCAGAATTTGGAGAGGGAGATCCTTTAAAATGCATTATGGTTTTGTTTTAAACTCAATCCTAAATAAATTGTTCTTTCTTACTGATTTAATGTGTATTAAAGTGTATGAATGGCTCTGCATAGACTATGTCCATTGACAGCATGTGGCTGAAAAGGGCAGGGGAAGTACCAGAGAATAGTCACATTTCAAACAAAGAGCAACCACACAAAAATGTTCAGGCAATGCAACATGAAGACGCCATCACAAAATACCTTTTCCTGACTGCTTTTAGCACCATGCCTCAAAGCTCCTTAAAGACCTTGTTCCTAAAGAGATTCTAAAGATCTTTTACTAAAAGATTTACTATTAACTGAGAGGGAGCATGGCCCCTCTAACATCAAAAACTGACTTTACAGAGCAATGGAAAAAATACATATGCTGAGCATTTGTGTAAAGGTTCCTACATAACGATGCGGAAAACAAAAAAAGTCACTGTGCCACGTAATATTCCCTTTCCCCTGTTCCACTCACTGCCAACACACAATACAAAATTTATCCTCTGCAACTCATTCAAAGCACTAGCCGCAACTGCAAAGTGACCAAAAGCATCGGTGTAGGAAAGTTCAAGGCCACCTAGTGTAAACATTTGTTCGAAGTCATATGATGTACACTGTTCCTTTAAAATAGCTTAGTACAGCGGCAGATTTGGATGTCTGTAATGATATGCCTGCTGTATAGAAAAAAGTAAAAGAGGATGTTTGTTCACTGACTCCGACACGGTGCATTATGACTGATGCTCCTTAGTAGGGTGTGCAAGGCAGCCAAGAGTCATTTAAAAACATGTGTTGTTTGTCTCAAAAACAAATGTAAGGGAACACTAATAAAAGCTGCCCTGTCTGAAATTAGGCTGAGCAGTTTAAATCCATTTTTCTGGAGGCTATTCAGGAAGCTGGGACTGCCTGCAAAATAAAACTAATTTATTCCTACTATCTACTGCAAAGGAGTAGTTTATCTCCAGTATATCTTGTCTAGAAAATAAGCCTCTTATTCCTAACATTAATCACGTATCAATGTCCCTCTTAGAAGCTCCAAATATAGTAAAAACTGAAAGTATGTGAGCTTTGGGTTCTTGAAATTATAGTAAATGGAGGCAAATGACATGTCAAGGCTGCTGTCCCCGAAGGCAAAAGAAGACCTGCTTCCATAGTTCACTCACAGCAAAACACATCCCAGTTCAGAGTGTGAATGTTTTCCAGATCTTACACTTGGCACAATTCAATTTATGCTCCCATACATGGATGAAGGATTTGAGACGCAAAGATATATTTCAGTTTGTATCTTGGTTTCTATTAGCTCTGGACCCGTGTAACCAAGGGCATGGCTTACAGAGGGTCAGATCCTGCATCCTATTGACTAAGTAGTGCTTTGGATTTCAAGAAATATGGTATTACTTCATGTGGGTGAGAGAGTAGCATGGGCACTCATGTTAAGGCATTAATCAACTATTGAAGGGGCTAGATTCAAAGTGCACCAAAGGCAAGTGAAAAGCATGAACTGACTACAAAGGACCAGGCCTAAGCTCTGCCAGAGAGACAGAACAGAACCCCAAGTTTGTGAAAAATATTGTAAATTCTAAATACAGCTAAAGTAAAACAAATAACCCCACCTAAACTAGTTTTGCAGTCAAAAACCTATACCTCGGTATTAGAAGGCACCCAGTTCAAGAAGTTCAGGCCTCTTCCCATGCTACCATGCACTAACTTTCTTTTTGAACAAAAGTATAGATGAGTATAAAATACAAAAATATACATTTTAAGCAGTAGCAAAATTTGAATAAAAATTAGAAATTGCTCAAGGAAAGTGCCTGCCATATAATTACATGTGCACACGTACACACTCTGTCTCAAAAAGGTATGAAAGAAAGGGAATCAATAGCCTTAAAATTTCTAACTCTGTTGGTTGGTATGACAGCTATTAACTTCATTTTAGTGACTAGGAATGTTATCAGCTTGGCTTCCTTATCAAAAAGAAGTAAGCATTAGATATCACAGGCAGTGTTCAAGAAGGATACATCGGCTGCTAGACAGGGAAGACATTCATACGCTCACTCAGGAGGGAATAGATCCCACGCTCACACGTTTCCACATTCCTAGAGACCTGAAATTCTTCCCATGTGCAAAGAGCATGTTTGGGTGTAAAAGTGCCTGCTGCTCTTCACCTTCCCTCTCCTCCATCCCACTTCAGCGAAGTCCTTCAGCATACAAGGATGTGCTTAAAGTTAAGCAAGCATGTCAATTGTTTTGCTGGACTGAATGCATGTGCAGCCCACACCTCCTAAAAGCCTCTCCTGCCAACCAACAACAGGAGTTGCATGCACAGATGGCATTCAGGGCCAACCAGCTGACATGGAGCAGAGAGCAGTAAACAGCTGTTTAGGGTTATGCCACTTAAATCGTTGACAAGACGACACTGCAAATGCAAGACATAAATGATGCCCCAGAGTGACATTTCTAGACTACTTCCAAAAACCAGGAAAGGATCAAAGCAATCTTCATCCTGCTGGCCATAAATATGCCAGTGGACACCAGCATTCTCACATGGAAAGAGAATTAGGTTTGTTTCTGAATAACCCTGGAAAAATGAAGGCTCAAACATAGACTCCATCTTTGATACATTTACAGTAAAAGCCCTTCAGAGTAAAATGCATGAGAACATCCTGAGGCCTTATTTTCAAACATGATTAGCTTATGAATTGGCAAAAAATCCACCTAGCTTCTCTGTAATGATAAAGAAAGACTGACAATTTTCTGGAGCGTTCAGCAGTTTGTGAATGCAGCACTTTTTGGCTCTTGGATCTGCTCTGAAGCCAGCTCCTTTTATTTTTCATATTATTCCCCATGAGAGCATACAGCGAAATTCAATATTAATGTCAAATGTCATGTCTGCAGAACAGAACAAAGCGAGCTCTGATACCAAGCTCCCAGCGCTCTGCTTACCAACACCCCAACGGAGAAGCAGAGAGTATTTCAGAAAAGCACAGTAAACTAATATATGTCCCTAAAAAACAAGCACAATTGAAAGCTGGGGTGAAAAGGGAGTGGGAACATGGAGCTAGGTTTGTATTTTCTCAGACTGCTTTCTTGGTTAACTCTGTGCTTCTTCAGAAAATAACTTCAGTATGAAACTAACACTTGTAAAGTTTTTCCAGCAGACACTTAAAGAAGTTTTCTGGCACAGCCAGAAATTTACCATATGGTCCAGCCCAGCTCTCCCCGAACGCAGCAGGAGTTTGGTCACTGTAATCACTAAAGACAGGCTGGTATCTGAACATAAAATTTTCTTTGGATAATTTATGGAAACCTTAGATGTGAAACATAATCTGTTTCCTTTTACAGCACCCAACTGCACAGCAAGTTTACATGAAGGACAAATAGCACACAGAACAAGGAGGCCAACGAAGAGTGCTGAAGCAAGGCTGGAGAACCATCTCGGTGGCAAAGACCGCAATCACTTTCACAGAAGTCACAAGGGGTTATACTTTGCATTACTTCTGAATTGTAGCTTCTCACAAAAAAAAACCGCTCTTCTCCCTGTTCAGAAAGGTTAGTTAACATTAGTTAATGAACTTCTGAGAACTGACCAACAAATTAGCTTCACAAAGAAAATATTTTTAAAGGATGCACTAAACTCTGATGCAGACCTCGTCATACACTTGCAAATACTTCCCAGAGTGGGTGTTTAAGCCTAGGCATTAATCTTTGTTCTTTTCCCAAAACATCAAAATGTTCTCAATATGTTCAGGCAAATCACAGAATCATAGAATCATTAAGGTTGGAAGAGACCTCCAAGATCATCGAGTCCAACCGTCAACCCAACACCACCATGCCCACTAAACCATGTCCCTAAGTGCCTCATCTACACGTCTTTTAAATACCTCCAGGGATGGTGACTCAACCACTTCCCTGGGCAGCCTCTTCCAATGTTTAACCATTGGAAATGCTTGGTGAAAGGCACACTTTCATAGACTCAATCTCAACTGTTAGACCAAATCTGTTCAGAAGCCTTAGTCAAACATTCTAAAAGGAATTTTGCCCCTACCTACGCAGTAACCCCCATGACAAAGGAATTGGGATGCTTTACCTGGCAGGTTACTGGCTATGACATTTAAGAGCTAGGTCTCTCATAACTGACGCTTTCTCTCTCACTGTTACGTTTGAGAGCTTCAGCTTCCTGCATCTGGGACTGTCCACCTCACCTAGCTCCTGCTCCTGTATTTTGCTCCCCAGTTTCCTGAAGGGTTGCTACAGAGCTGAACAAACTAGAAGCCTGGAAAGCCATATTCATTTCAAAAACATCAGCGCATGGTAATTGCTCACAGAACAAACTTTTGCGAAGTTTCATTCGCATAGTGGGTTTGTGGTTTGAAGGTTTTCATTCCAGCTAGGGACACTGCAATTTCTTTTTTTATTAGTAGCATTTTTTAACTGAAATTATATTCCGTTTCCTTTCAAGCCTCAAGATTCTAAAAAAAATAAAAATAAAAGATTTATCTTTACGGGGCATAACGCTTACCCAACAGTGACGCCCAACTAGCTCTGAACAAAGTCAGGTAAGAGAAGCAGCACAGTCATTTGAATGTGCCGAGTAGCTGTGTATATTAACCCTGGCAGATCTCCTTGCTGGCACTGCTATATTGGCATCCAACCCAGTTCTTATACCAGTTGTAATATCTGCCACACAGACATAACTTTTTTGATAAATGCCAGAGCATGAGGAATCCTTAGACATCTCCCAGCTCTGAATATGACATGAATCTGACTGTCACCATCACATAAAATATACACCTGCAGCTTGGGTCACCAACTATGAGAGTGATGGAAAATAATAGATTAAAATAAAAGCACATTCCTGTATTAGATAGGAAGGAGTTCTCTCAGAACTCAGAATCATGGCATATGTATATATGCTGACCAATATATGTCTATACTACATAATAATAGGAATGGCGTATTGTAAAATAATATTTGAAGCAATCTTTTTCTTAAAGTTAAAGCCTTCTATTGCAGCACACTGATTACATCATACAAATTTTAGTCCTTAAGGATATTAATTCATATCTTTAAATTAATATTGATTTATTAATTGATAATTTATAGACACTAAATGTATTTAAACAGAATAAAAGTATTTACACGTGCATTTATATGTGACTTTTTTATACACATATTCATTAGCCTATCTAACAGCATTCTTACAAAAGACTAGGTCCTGAGCTCTTCTCCTAGACATTGAAGCATGTGGAAATTTATTTTGGCCACAGATTCTAAGTGTTATGTGTTTGTCTCAAATAAAAATTACTCTAATTTGTTAAGCCACTAGGACTTAAAACATGCTCTAGGTTAATGGACAGTTTAGTTACATCTGATAATTTCCTATTTTAGTTTTAACTTCTATGATTGAACAAACATTTCAGCCTACATAGAATAAATGTGATCTTCATCTAGCTAAAGTAGTACACATCATAGCATATTTGGTTGTCTTCTGTCTTGTGCTAAAACAAACCAATGTGAAGAGAATTGCCTATACAACTTTTTTATGCCTTTATCTCAAACCAAGCCCAAATCCTTAATAATGTTTCAGCTGGCTGGTGTAATGAAAACCTCTCTAATATCTTCTCCAGCAGCTTGTAATCTTTCTTTGCTTTTCATTTTGCCCAAGAGCTTTGTACATTGCTGCCTTTCTCTAAAAGACACTATACAAAAAAAAAAAACCACAAACAAACCAAAAAACTTTGAAACTGTTTTTCCCATGTACATCTTTTTTACATAACTACAAAAATCAGAACACTGGCATTTTCTCCCATGAAGGACTCTTAGTTTAAACAAGAAACAGATGAAAAAGCTACTTGAAAGATAATCATTAACTTGGTAAGTGAACCACAGTGAAGTTCCTGCTTCATTTTGGTAGTTTTGGGAACACATTGGGCCAGACTGAAGCCAATTTATACCAGTTGACAATTAAGTTATGACAATTCACACCAGCTGAGGAGCCAACCCATTAGGACAGTAAACATGTATATGGAAAAACACTACTATTTGTTAGAAAATTTGGCATGACAATGTCCAAAAAGGCTGCAGTTCAATGAAAAAAGTAAATTTCAGTGCAATGTGGCTTTCTCTTCACTAAAATTTGTCCTATTTCCATGAATAGAAACTTTCTTTTAAACTTCTGAATCACTAAGATCCATTTGGAATGACTGACACTTACTAGGTTCATAGTAATCCACTATAGTCACTGAAGCATCTTGGATATTTGCCACTTTGAAGTCTCTCACAGCCGGAATATCCACACAAACCTGTGTTTCATTTAGCTAGAAAAACAGAAGAGAAACATCCTGAGAACCCTGGTGATGGTGGTTTCATGGAAGAGGTAAGGACTTCTAGCTCAGCGGTAGTCCCCTTCATTTCTAAAGACTTGGAGTCAGGATGCATATAAAGATGCTTATCTCATTCGTAGTCATTTTGGCTAAATTACAGACTTCTTGAAATGTCTGCCTTCTTACATATAATTTTTAAGAGGCTTAATCTAGAAACCCCTTACAAATACAACTGAGTTGTACCTACCCAATCAGTCTCACTAAAAACCAGTGGAACTATAAATTCAATGTGAATAGCAGATGTTGACTTCCCCAAAGAATACAATCATAATGTCTTTCCAAATTTAAACCAAACAATGGCAGAGTCAAGATTAACATCACTACAAACACACTTCTTCATTATTTTCAACTTACAGAGTCTAAGTATAGGTTGACTTTTCCATAGTCCTTTTCCATCTTCTTAACTGTGTTGTCTAATGGAATGAAATCTGGTGACACAGAGAAACCACTGAGTAAGCCAACCTCCATGAGGACCATACCACTACTGGGAGCTGTGCCAGAACCCAAGTACCTTTTCAAAACACAGAGACAAAGAAACTTTTAGTAGAAATAGAGTAGTCCACTCTCCAAAGAAACTGTTTGATCATTAAATCCCAACTATGGAAGAAATAATGTTTAAGAATACTTAAGAAACAAATGGAACAAAATGCCTACAAGAAAATTTCTAATGATAAAGAGATAATAATTGATTTCTCTATTATTCTGCCTGATAATTTCAACGACATATGCAAAAGCAAGTTTAGCACTGAGAAAACTACAGTACATAAATCATACGAGAGACTACACTGATACCACTAGGAGCTTTCCATTGGCATCTGTAAGTGCAGGTTTATATCACAAATATGCAGGAAATACTGCAATTAAACACGTTTCAAAAGAAGTAATTAAGAAACCGATGTAGGAACTCTTGAACTGAAATATATATATTTCTTCTTATGGATGCATTGTTTTGCTTTTATTCATTTTTGGAGGGTGAGATAAAGGTATACACCAAAAATGGCTCCCAAATGTTTTCATATTTCCTTCATAGAGATTGATGGTTCCATTAACAAAGTCATCATCAGATTATTTCTCAAAGCTCCAGTTTTAAAATGCATAGCCATGTTATTCATCCAGTTTTGGAAAAAGAAGATTTAATAAGTTGAGTTCCTTCTTTTTTCCTAAATAATGCTTATTATTACATTTTCTTCCAATATGAGAATCAGATGCTGGACTAAAAAGCTTTGCTCTGTTGAGCAAGCCTTACATACTACGGTGCACAACAGAACTATCAGAATATATTTATGGTGTTCTGTGCTACGAGTGATACTTCAATGACCTGCAAAAGATTGTATTGTTTTAAATAAAGTAGGTGGCAGAAGAGGTTTCCCCCCTCCTTGGCATGGAGGGTAGATGATTATTGTTATAATAGAATAGAAGTGTCTCCAATCCTCATTTTGAAGGCCTGACAGTAGTTGAAAGTAATTGGATAAAACTATTTCTTTGTAGAGCTGGATGGTTTAAAAAAAGGGAAGACTTGCTTTCAAAGCAATGCTGTTAAGCCTGGCAGCATGGCTGATTGAACACAGATATGACTTTGAAAGAAACACAGCACAACTGCTGACTTTAGTTGGCTCATGAGATTAGAAACAAATGAAACCATCTGTTGGATGATGTGCTGTGCCAAAGTAGCTGCTATTGAAAACAAATAACTGAATTGGAACTGGATGTAATTATTTCTGCATAATTACCAGTAAGAGGGGAGGAAAATACCCAAGCTGTCTAGCCAGCCTGGGATGCTACCAAAATACAAACAGGTAACCAAACCAACTTAGTATTGTCAAGAAGCGAATAAGATATATCCCTTATATCCCAGATGCTATGAGGATCTGGCTCTCTTAACAAAGAAGAGAGACAGCCTTGGGGTGGCTGCTGGTATCATCTCTTCAACTCCGTGGTCTCCTAAAAATTAAAAAAAAAATCACCGTGCAAGAAGAATGACCAGTAATAGAAAGAAAGATGACCTGAAACTTGTATCTGAAGAGAACTGACAATGTTTTGAGTTTAATTTTATGTTTCAGCTCTTCAGCAATATGAGATCCGTGTGAGACCCTCTCACAGATGATGCAAAAAGGAGAAAACAACACCAAGCCAGTGTAGGCAGAAAGCATAAACAAGAGAGTGAGTAGAACCATCAGCAATCAGTTTCCCATGCCTGGAAACGGTATGCGGGCAACAAGACCAGTCAGAGAAGAAACTGGCAGTCCTGGGTATTTGCCTCCCAAACAGTGAGTTAGCTCCTCTAACCAAGAATCATTTCAATTTGAATGAGACGTTATCTGCCCCAGTGTCATAAATGGTACCCAGTTGAGATGACCATGGCCAATCACTATCAAGCTGGTTGAAAGAAGGTGGAATATTCTGCAGATTAGAGAAAGAAAAAAATTGCAAAGCTGCAGCCTCCATTACTTGACTATGCATACCCACAGCTAGCTAAACTGGTTGAGATTTCAGCAGTCTTTCTCTATTTGCCTACTTTGGTTTCTCTACCAGAAAGCCACACCATGCTGTAAAGATTATAAGTAGACCAACTTCAAACTAATTCAGGAATTTAATATAGATAATGCATATATTATATACAATATATAGGGGAAAAAAGAAGAGGATGACTAGTCTATCAAGCCAAGCAACCAGAGACGAAGTCTCAGCCTGAAGAATAGAAACACAGACTTCACAGAATCATAGAATAGTTTGGGTTGGAAGGAACCTCTAAAGGTCATCTAGTCCAACCCCCCTGCCGTGGGCAGGGACATCTTTAACTAGATCAGGTTGCTCAGAGCCCCATCCAACCTGACCTTGAAGGTTTCCAGGGATGGGGCATCCACCACCTCTCTGGGCAACCTGTGACAGGGCTTCACCACCCTCAGCATAAAAAATTTCTTCCTTAGATCTAGTCTCAGTCTATCCGCCTTTAGTTTAAAGCCATTCCCCCTTGTCCTGTCGCAACAGGCCCTGCTAAAAAGTCTGCCGCCACCTTTTTTATAAGCCCCCTTTAAGTACTGATAGGCTGCAGTAAGGTCTCCCCGAAGCCTTCTCTTCTCTAGGCTGAACAACCCCAACTCTCTCAGCCTTTCTTCACAGGAGAGGTGTTCCAGCCCCCCGATCATTTTTGTGACCCTCTTCCAGACCTGCTCCAACAGGTCCGTGTCTTTCTTATGCTGAGGGCTCCAGAGCTGGACACAGTACTCCAGGTGGGGTCTCACCAGAGCAGAGTAGAGGGGCAGAATCACCTCCTTCGACCTGCTGGCCACGCTTCTTTTGATGCAGCCTAGGATATGATTGGCCTTCTGGGCTGCAAGCGCACATTGCTGGCTCATGTGCGCTTACTAGAACTTATACCAGTCCACTTTTCATGATAAGAGTTGATGGATCTCAATGTTCCAAAAATTCTCCTGGGACAGTTTTATAATGCCACTAGATTTTCCCCTATCCTTTGAACACTTTGTAATTAAAACATTATCACCCTAGAGCCTTCCCAGAGAGATGGAGCCCTTCCTGTCTGTATTCCTGAGCCAAAGGTCTCAGCTAGAAAATCAGAATGCTCAGCCAAGACTTATCCCAGACCCATCATGTAAGCCCTTTACATGTCAGGAGTTTGTGCTAGACTTTAGAAAGCTGTTGACACTTCGTAGAAAACTTTGAAAGAGAAAAAGCCCATTCTATTTCAAGAGCTCTCATGTATTCTAGTGTCCCTGCCCACCATCTGTATCACTGAATTGGTTACCAGAAACACATAAAAACAGGGGTCTGGCTTTGTGCCTGCTGGCTATTTCCCAAATTAAATCAATTCTCTCTGTACTGAAATCATATTCACTATAGCTGATTATTTGTATGATGGTGTCACCTAGAGGCTCCATCTCCAGTCACAGCTCCCTTGTGGTAGGCAGAGCACAAAAGTAGTTCTAGGCATACGGTGTTTAAAGTTTAAATAAATAATAAAAAGAGGATGTGGAGGAATGGGCTGCAAGAGTAATCATGGTGGATCAGGTGGTACTTTGCAAATCTTGCATTTACAAGGAACCCATTATAATGTCACAAGAAGAAAACAGTGTTTCTAGAGGAAGTATTCACAAACAGATGAAATCCTAAAATACAAAGAATGTAGTCATCTCAACATCCTTGAAGTTAATAAAAGATAGAAGGTAAAAAACATAAACATATATAGAGAGATACAATGTCCTATAGGGTTTTCTGTGAAATATGCAGTGCTTTTTAACTACAATAAGAAGTGCATACTGAAGAAACTGCCAGAGAACAAACATCTTCATATATTTCTTTTAAATACATGTATAAACACTGTCACAGCAAATGAAAATGAGGCAGCAAAGCAGTCAAAGAAACAACTTGGTTTAATGACTGGCTGACCTAGGAATATGCAATATGACTGTTCAATGTCACCTGTTCTCATCTGATCCAAATTCTATCCAGGTAATATCTCGTGGTTGTTCTGTGGTCTCTGAGGTGATGCTTCAGCAGTCGCACCTCAGTTCTTAGCAGGTGTTAACTGAACAAGTAACATCATCCCAGATGTACCAGCACCCCCCCTCTTATTCAGCAGAAAGAATAGAATTAGGCTGGCCAGAAAACTCATCACCTCTTTCAACTCTAGAATGATGCTTACATTATATTATATCACCAAATTCCTAACTATAAGACATATTGGCAAATGAAAGACCACAAAGATACTTGCACAAAAAGACAAAACCCCATGCTAATACATAGGCTGCTAATACAGCCCATACAAACAAATGGATAATTTAGGTCATTTTAAATAATTTAAAAGCTGTATAGACTAAGAGGTGTATGAGATGCTCCAATTGAATTACCTACCTTGTGCACACATTCAAGGTCAAATGGTTTTTATCGTCTTTGTCATCCTTTACATCAACATTCAAGTCAAAGGCTTCTTGTTTTCGGACAGATCTGAGCCTCTGATCAGTGTGTTTTGTGTTGTAAATAACATTGAGCTGTGGATTGCAAGTAAAGACGTTAGATGACATATGTAAAGCAAATCTGTGTGGTTAAAACACTACGTTTGTAACAGTATAACACCAGAGGAGTGCTCACATGAGACAGGATACATGGCCTTGTATCTGACAGATGCACCCATGAGATTCATAGGAATTCTCTGAAAGAAATATCCTTTCTGTACACTTTGTAATGCAGCAGAACCAATGCAATTAGCAGGACACAACTGAGGCAAACACAAGGGAGCTCTAGGACAACCAGCAATTTTCTCCCTAGTTGCTGTCTGCTGGTTTATAATGTGTGCAGCTACTTCCTGACAGTGTGAAATGGGATGAATAAAGGCAAACTTCAGAGACCAACACCTACTGGGTTAAAAGAGACAGGCTGTATATGAAAGCAGAGCAAGAGCAAATACATAGCGTATGTACAGAATTTGTCTTCAGTCTTCATGTCATAGCAGTCATACACTCAAAACAGATGAGGAATAGCATGTTACTCCAAGCTCAGAACAACACAGTCTTCTTGCAGTTAAGTAAGTAGTTTCATCATATGCTTCTTCTGTGCAAAGACAAATTTACAGTCTTCAATCTGCCTCAAGAACAGAGCTCTCACCCTTTCTGCTCAACAACTGCCATGCTCTGCTAAGTGAGCCAAGTAAGGAAGTATGACAGGATGTCCAATGGAGGACAGTAACATTAATACAAAATAAGCTCATCTGTTCGGCACTGTTTGAAGAGTTTCCAATTCTTCTAGTGTAGACGTGCATAAGATGCTTGAAACAGTGGTAGAAGAGAGGTAAAACCAGAAGCCCTTAGAAGAGGTCTGAATAATTAGGAGATAGCCTGATTATCTCAATATCCTATCAAATTACCAATGCCAACAGCCAAAGCAGAAATGCTGGAGTTGGAATTGAGCAACCAATGAGTACTCTCACGTTATCAGCCATGACAGAAAATTATGCAGTAAAAAACCAGGCTGTACTGCCTACAGGATTGAACTCAATGAGGTAAAGAAACAGCTGAATCATTATCTGCAGTGTTTCTTTAAAACTGCCTTGATACCAGACCGGAGGATGACAAATGTGACAGCAATTTTTAAAAGAGTGCTGGGGGTCTAGAGAGCTGTGGATATCAAGTAAACTCGGTACCTGTACCAGAAAACACGGTCGAAACTATAATAAAGAGTCAAATTAGTGGACAAATGAGTAAATATGGCACATTGGATAACAGGCTGTTGCTATAAACCCACCAGCTACCTGAATCAAACGAAAAAACGTGGACAACGGAGATCTGTCTAGTATAAGCTACCTGGATGTTACATTGGCATGTAGCTGGTTAGGAAGATTACTAGCCAAAGGTACCAGGACAAAAGAAGCTGCCAAGGGATAAAGGGCTGTTAAAAGACAGGAATAGAGGGTAGGAATGAACACTATACATGAAAGGAGTGGAATCCTAAAGGAATCTGTGCTGGGTGACCACTGTTAAACATATCCATATATGATGTAGAGAACAGGGTGAATCCTGACGTGATAAAGTTTGCTGATTATACTAATTTATTTGAGGTAGCAAAGACTAGGATTCCTGCAAAGAGTTGCAGAATGAAAGAATTTTTATGTACATAATAATGGGTTTTGAACTGATTACTACCAGATCTGTTTACCATTTAACAAATGGTAAAATAGATGAAATTCAGCCATAAACCGGTAAGTTGGAAGAAGGACACAGTAAAGGTCTACAGAATAATGACCTGCATGGGAAACATGAATAGGAAACAGTTTTTCATGCAATGCAAGATTAAATTGTGGAATTCCTTCCCACAAGATGCTGCAGATACTAAACTGTACAAGTGTTCAAGGGCAAAATAGACAACTTCATGGAATCAAAATTTTCTAAGCCCACAGAAACTATATCCAGCTGAAGGTCTCAAATAATACATGGTAAGAGGTGGAAGACAGTCAGGTAATATATTACATGTATTTATCTTCTTATACTCTCTCCTGAGCATCCACCTCTGGCTGTTGTGGAACACTGGGCTTGACTGAGCTTTGCTCAGACCCAACACAGTCCCTCTTATGCCTTCTCTCTAAATACAAGAACTAGGGGAGCAGATTCAAAAGGAGAAAGAGGTAGTGTTTATTCATGCAATATACTATTAGCTGCAGAACTACTTGCCGCAAGAAGCTCTGGTTGTTAGAAATATTTAAAAAGTTACGCATTTATGGAAAAAAAAAAGAATCTATCAAGGAAATATCTACCAAGCCAGAGAGAGCACACCGAGATGACCTGTGGATTGGGAAGGCCCTGTGTTGCAAATTGGTGAAGGGCAAGAGAGTATACCAGTGAGAGATCACTTCATGCTTGCCCTGTTCTAGTAGCCTTCACTGGTCATCCTCTCTCTACTGGCCACTATGGGATACAGGATAATGAACTATATCAGTTGTCCCAGCACATCTACTCTAGCATACTCGTGTACTTTTACCCAATAAAAGACACCAAAAATGAAATTTAACTTTGAGAAAACATTCTAAGGTGCTTCAGACTGATTAACACCCTACGCGATGTTGATGGTAACTGCAGCATCCCTTTGCTGTGGCACAAACAGGACACCACCTCTGACATAGGACAAGAGAATGGGTTGCTGACTCAGCACTTCAGTATGATGAATCAGAAAGCTCAACTTTCAAAACGCTAGAATGACAAAATCAAATACAAGAAACTGAGAAAATATTTACTATCAAAGAATAGTTGACATTATTTGGCAAAATAGTGAGATTTTCACCAACAACAGAACAGTAAGTTTGCATACAGTTTTCACATACAAACTAATAATCATTATCTGTTCCCTTAGTCATCAAGATAAAACACATGGCAGTGCAGGGGGTGATCTTCTTTGATTTTGGTAGAAAAATAATCAGAAAGTGGCTCAAATAACTCCCCTCGCAAGACCCCTACATGCACTTTGCTTGGCTAAAGAAAAGGGAATGAAGGGTGGTTCTGGAAAATCATAGTCCCTTTACAACAGTTTCTGGCAGCAAATGGAAAACTGTCAGTCCAAATTTAAAGATATGACAGGGGCTTGTCCAAGTTACAGGTTAGCAAGTCAGTCATAGGCTAGCAAGACTGTGCAAACAGAGGAGTCTTTAACTTCCGACTTTTGCTTTTGCTGCTACGTCTCTCACTCCTTGATATGAAAGTTATGCTCTTTCTTTCAATCTACACACGATTCCCGTTGCCCTGCCCTGCATTGCTGAATTTAGCATGCTGTATGAGTATCAGAGCCAATTCTGTACAGGCGCTCAGGACAACCGTGGTGCAACAGTGAAGATTTATCCTGTACAACTGCTCCGCAGGAGAAGGCAGTACCAAGGACGAAGCCAATCTAGAAAGCCTGCCAGTTAAAGGCATGCAGAAAGTTTGGTAAAGACAAGCTGGCGGTGCCTCAACGACCTGTCATCACAGAAACAAAGCTGTTTTAACTTTTGCCAGAAAAAGCTAATGAATGGGAATTTACTGCCAAAGCAGGATGTCTGAAACCATATACTGAACAGGTCAATCAGCTAGTATTTTCATGGAATAAGTTATCGCTGTTACGGTTTGACTTTCCTTTCCTGATTTCTCATGACAATGAAGGAAAAATCTTTTTCACAACACAGAGTTTAATTAAAGCAGCCTTCTTTATACACTCTTACTTTGGGGACAGAAGGCTATTATACAGAAACTAGCATTAAATCAACAAAACGAGCAACTGCGTTTCTTCTTAACCCTTTTAAGAAGCAGCTGCCAAAGCTGAAGGCAGAACCGGTCCATTCTTGTCATACTGCAACCAGTTCTGGTGAGAGGCCCAAGAAGAGAAAACTAAAAGCTAATCTGCATGAGAGAGATGCTTGTAACAGTATCTGATCCTATCAACTGCACTACGTTTCAAAAAAACATGACTCATTTATAATGTCCTAATCAATGTCTCTT